AATCCAGAACAGAGAACTTTTATATGATGGCTGGTAGAGAAGGGACCCATTACCCGGGAGGAATGCTTGCTAGATAAGGAAGGGGAGATAAGGGCACCTACCCCTCCCCAGTACCAGAGCAGTCAAAAAATAAGAATTTCATTTAAGTAAAAAGCAGACATAAAGCCTTCCGTGGAGGCCGGAGAATGTAGTTACCAGACCATCTAGGCCAACTCCAGTGGAGTATCACTGTCACTCCAAATTTTCCTCTGAGAGGCCCATGCTTGCTCTCTGGGATTCCAGAGCGTGGTTCTAACTAAACCATCACAGCATTTCTCTTAAGTTACAGAATATTTATTAGGGCCTGCCAACAAAGTTTAGAGGGTCACTTAAAAAGACATGAACTCTGGTAGGCGCTTTCTCGCCCATATTTGAGACCCCAGCCATTAGTGCGAGTCCCGCCCGAGGTCCCCGAGCTCCGTCCCCAAATGGTGACTACTCCTCCCCTTTTTCCCAGTGTGCTCAGCGTTTCTCAGCCTCTGTCTCCAGGGGTTCCGTTTTAGTTTCCTCAGAGGACATGCCCACCCAACACTCACAAAACTGAAAAAATGGCGTGTGACTTCTGGGAATGAATTCTTGGTGTAGGGTTCCTTGGAATCAGATCTTGAGATGGAGGTCAGCTAGTGGTTTTTTCTCTCTCTGCCCCAGGTCCTTACTTCCTTTGCAGAGGTGACTGAGGTCCCATATTATCAACACAGATGCACTTGGCTCAGACCGAGGTCTGGGAGGCACATGCAGGTCACTTCCCTCTAGCTGCCCACCTAAGAGTTTACATAGCATATAAACCTAAGATCCAGGTTAGATTAGGTGAAAGGACACAGTAATTCAGCTCTCTACATATGAACAGGGACTCTAGAGCTGCTCCTGACCATCCACCATACTTTAAAGGCCAAGGCCCAGTAGGGTCCCTATGGCTCTGCATTGCCGTTCCAAGGCTCTACCCACCCTTCCTTCTTCAAGGGTTCCTGTCCTGGAGGTCCTGTCTTGGCATATCCTTTTGTCTTTCTGCTTCCTTATTGGCTCTTAGTCATCGGAAATATTGGCTCCCGGGTCTTGCCACCTCTCCAACATGTGTCGGTTTCTGGTCTCCTCACTCACTTGGTTGCTCATCCCACCTTCCGCCTCTCCAGCCCTGCACCTCCTTCCTTTACAAGCAATTCTCATGGCTTTAACCAGCTGAAATCTCTCAAGCTCTCCATGTCTCAAATCCACCTTCCACCCTATCCTCTCCACGTTCAATTTTCTACCATCTCAAGACTTCTAATATGCAAATCACTCCAGAGTTAACTGCTCCCTCCACTCCTACCTTAGGGACGTTAAACTTGCCCCCACTATCCATCACTAACTTATTCTGTTCTTGATCTCTAAAATGACCTGCCTGTGTCTCTGCCTCTTAGTTCCTATGACTTAACTACGTCCCACTAGACCTCACTTCTTTTTCTTTTTTTAAAAAAATATTTTATTGTTTTTACTTTTTTTATGTGTATGCGTGTATTGCCTGCATGTAGGTAAGTGCACCCGTGTCATGCGATGCCTGCAGAGGACAGAAAGGGCTGTCGGACGCCCTGGAACTGGAGTTAGGACAGTTGTTAGCTGCCATGTGGGTGCTGGGATTCGAACACTGGTCTTCTGCAAGAACAGCTAGTGTTCTTAACTGCTGAGCCATCTCTCCAGCTCCAAGGCCTCACTTCTTAAAGGTTTGATTTATGGTCACAGTAAGAGTTAGATCTCCAGCACATGAACTATAACAGGACACCTATTTCAAACCTCTGCCTTCCAAAGTTCAGGAATCATTACGGAAGAAGAGTTAAAAAGATTGTAAGTGCCAGAGGGGATGGATGACCACAAGGAAACAGAATCTTCCAGACAGCTGGTCAGTTCCTCATATGAACTCACATCAATGGTGAGAGCATGCACATGCCCTATGAAAGCTCAAACCAGACAAAATCCCAACATAGACATGGGGAAGTGGGTAAGAAATCCCAACCTAAGGAGCTTTTGGCAATTGATGTATGCTGGGAGGGGAAGAGACAGTGTCTTATGGGGATGGGCCTTTTGGTGGACCCAGTGAATGGACACACTGAAGGACATTTGGAGACACAAATCAGACTCTATAGGCTGTATTTTGTGTGTGTGTGTGTGTGTGTGTGTGTGTGTGTGTGTGTATAGACATTAAATTGGGCAGGGGCAGTGGGGGAAGGTGTGGATAGGGGAGGGGATCTAAATACCATCAAACTATATTGGGATACTTTACCAAGATTATTCTTGTCCCAAGGCTGTCACACATGCCTCTCTCTGGAAAGTTCTTTAAAAAAAAAAAATGAGCCCCAGTCAGACAATCTTTAGTTTGAGTCTGAAATATCAAAATGTCTCTTTAGCAGTTCCTTATTTATTTCCTTATGAACATTTACCAAAAAAATAGCATGAAAATGTTATTAATCAGAGAGCAGCTTCAATTTCTAGGGGTCAGTTCTCTTCTTTCACCATATGGCTCCTGTGAACTCAGGTTCATCAGCCCTGGTGGCACGTGGCTTTACCTACTGAGCTGGCCTGTATTTCTGACAAGGCAAAGTTAAGGAGTTGCCAGAGCAACCATAAGGGGCTGCCACTCATGCGAGATGACAGAATAAAACTTTCCAGTGTTCCCCCTGGAAACATCAGTTTGGGAACACTTACAACACAAGAGCTAATGAAACCCAGTCATAGAGGACAAAATTGGGACCAGTGCAGAAATAAAAAATATTTTGAAGGGGTAGGAAGGGGGGCAGGTTTTAAAAAATTGTTTTGTTTATTATTTTTATTCTACGTGTATGAATGTATTGCCTGCAGGTATGTAAGTGCACCTGTGTCGTGCAATGCCCACAGAGGTCAGAAGAGGGTGTTGGAACCCCTGGAACTGGAGTTACAAGGTGGCTGCTACCCACCATATGGGTGCTGGGAACCAAACCTGGGTCCTCTGCAAGAACAGCCAGAATTCTTAACCACTGAACCATCTCTCTAGCCTCAGAAGGGAGATTTTATACAACCTCTGACTTCAACTCATGCTGTGACTTGCATGTGCCCCTTGGTAAATAATAAATGCAGTAGATACAGATATTGGGCAAAGTCTGAAAATCTCTTTCTCAAAAGACATACAAATGTCTGACAAGCATTCAATGTAACTAATCAAAATTAGGATGAGCTATCACCACACACCTGGTAGAATAACTATTACCGAAACATACAAACCTAGGTACCGGCAAGAATTTAGAGAAAAGAGAAGGCTAGCATGCTGTGGGTATACAAATTAGTGTAGCCATTGTGGAAAACAGTATGTAGGTATCAGAAAATACTAAAAATGAGCTACTATGAGATCCAGCAACCCTTTTCCGGGGATACCAACAAAGAAAATGAAATCAGTATATTGAAGAGGTTTCTACCTGCCCAGACAGCATGATTTGTATGAACAAAACAGATGAAAGATAAGGAGAATAGGTTCTAGGTTCACAATGGAATACTACAGAGCCTTAAAAAAGACATTGCCATTTCTTTTTTTCTTTCTTTCTTTTTTTTTTTTTTTTTTTTTTTTTTTTTTTAGGGTTGATTGATTAACTGCTGAGACAGGGTCTCCCTGGCCTGGAACTCACAGAAATCCACCTGCCTCTGCCTCCCAACACCCAGCTGTCACTGTCATTTCTAACAGACATACGAACCTGAAGGATATGCTAAGTGAAATAAAGCAGCAATAAATACCGCATGATTATATTTATGTGTAGAATCTAAAAAAGTTAAACACATAGAAAATAGGATGCTGATTACCAGGAGCTGAAGGCAAACTGGACAGATTTTGGCCAAAGGACATTTCACTTGAGTAATAAGTTCAAGAGATATACTAAATTGCTAAATAATTTTTTAAGTATTTGCTCACAAAACCATGACAGAACCTGTGTTAACCAGTACACTTTAGCCATAACTCAATACTCATACTTTAAGCATGTTGAACATGAAAAAAAATCCCTTTTCTCATTTGTCAGCTAATGAATTTGGAAAAATGTGTGACTCACAGGGCATAAAAGAATCATTATTTGGCCCATCAAGAAAAAGTTTGCTATGTTCTGAATCTTGAACAGCAACATTAAGAGTCTCTATACCTTTACTATGCCAGGCCCTTAGCAGATGCCTAACTGGCATCTGTTGAGAGAGCTGAAGAGGCCCCGTTAACAGCCTCCTTTCCTGGCTCTTTTTGTTAGGGGCTGGCAAGACAAGGTTTGGGTCAGCTCTCTTCTGAATTCCTGGAGAATGCTGCTCAGAGACCAGACATTCAAAAGTCTCAAAATCCAAAGTCAGCCAAGAAGCCATTGCCTCCTTCTGACCCTTTACACTCAGTTTCAGGAAAAGAAAAGGGAAGGTGCTTTCTGGAGCCTGCAGGTTTGGTTAGGCTCCAGGTAAGGTGGGGCCATTCTCAGGACAAGAAGTTCTCTGCCTCTACTTCCCCAGCAAACTAGACCCTGGAGAGCAGCCTTACTGGAGAGGGAAGGATGGTCCATGTTTACTAGTAAGGAGACAGGATTGTGTAAGCCAGGTGCCACTAATGCCACATTCTGGCTAAAGTAGACAGGATGGGGAGAGTGTGGCAGGCTATGTGTGGTCACACACTGCACGCATGCCTGCATCACCCATGCTCCGTGAGCACATGTGTAGGGAAGGCCTCTGAGGAACTGCTAGGACCCTGCGATGAGCTGTGGAGTTTTGCCTCTGATGCCATGGGACAAGGTCCTCTGTTCAATATATATTACACACCACACACTTCCTTCTTTTAATCTGGTATCATGGATCACCTCTCAGGCCCAGAAAAGAAAGCATATCCCACCCCCACTGCCAAAGCCCTCATCTCAGTTTCCTTGCCCCTTAGAGGGCAGTTTCTGGTTGGAAGCTCAATTCTTGAGGCTTGCAACAGTTCTAGGTTCCAGAAGTTCCAAGACTTAGAGGGTTTCCAGTAGTTGTTCCCGGGCAGCACCAATAAAGGAATTTTCCAGGAAGGCAGGTAGGCCTCCCACACCATCTCGCAGGATGTACAGGGGCACCCGCACCAGGCCCAGCACCTGTGGCAGGAAGGCGATGGGACAGGACATAATTCTCACTGCAGCAATATCATTCTAGGGTAGACAATGCCTGCCCTGCCCCCAAAACCCTATATATTTGGCCCAAGGCTCATATCTCAAAGAGGTTTAATGGGCCCAATCCTGTGCTGACAAATGCCCCAAGACAGCCTATTCAACTCCATTGATGTTAATCCTTCTCACATCTCTCCTAGAAACTTTTCTGGCTTCTGGATGAAGGCAGGGCACTTGCAGGCACAGCCAGTGGTTCTTAACTGTGGGACCTGCATGGCTATAGTTCCAAAGGGCATCCCTTGGGAACTTGGCAAATGGAAAACCGGCAAATTCACAGATCTCCCAACTCTTCTCTCAATAAGGGCTGTTGGGGTGGAGTCCAGAAGTCACTGTTTTACTCCCTGAGCTTCCTGTGTGAACACAGGAATCACTTTTCTTCTGATGATTTGATACTTATAGTTTGAAAATCACCTCCACATACACCTATCTCCCTACACCCCTAGTCTACCTAAGAGAAAGGAGCCCAAACTCAAGAGATATGGTGTCATGCCTGAGCATTATCATAATTATCAAAAGAAAGTGGGTGACCCCTGGACAAGTGTGTTCTAGGAATCTCTGTAGAGGCCAGGAACACAGGGTCTGGGCCCAGGACCTTCTAGGGGACTTTTCTTTGGGAGGCAGGTGGGGGTAGGGGGTCCCAGGCTGACCCCACCTCCAGCCCGTGGTCCCTGGCTCGTGGGGCACCAGCTTCCACAGCCTGCAGCTGCTCTAGCGTCAGATGCTTGGCATAGAAGTGGGCCACCAGGTGCGATTTGGCGTCCATGAGGGAGTTCTGATAGTCTGTGTGCTCCACGCAGAAGGTGGACACCCCCTCACCCAGCTTGTTCTGCAGCCCTTCCTCCAGCCCTTCCTCCAGGCTCTGACAGTCCACGCAACCTCCAGGGATGAGTGCTTGGACACCCCCTCACCCAGCTTGTTCTGCAGCCCTTCCTCCAGCCCTTCCTCCAGCCCTTCCTCCAGGCTCTGACAGTCCACGCAACCTCCAGGGAAGCCCAGGCGGCCATCGAAGCGCATGTACATCTGAGGGAGGAGGGAGCTAGGGTTGGCTGGGAGCTAGAAAGCTTTCCCCCAGGAGGGGGAGGGGGAGTGAGTGGCCGGCATGGCAGATTCTCACCTGTACAGCATGTCGCAGCGGTATGCAGTCAAAGAGCATTCCGGGGTCAGGTGAGTACAGCGTCACGTAACAAAGATGCCTCCAGTCGGACTTCAGCGCCAAAGCCTTCGCCAGGCTCACTTTATAGGTTGTGGCCATGGACACGTGGGTTTCTGCCCACGTGGTGAAGCGGGAGAATCTCACTCCGTATCACCTGCAGGGTCCATGGGCAGAACACCAACTCTTTAGTGCCAGGCTTTGCTAGTGGAACGCCAGCCAATCAGGGTGGAGCTTTTAGGTCTTGGAGAGGAGAAAGGCCCCCAGAACCTTGGGAAGCTGAAAGCTTCCTCAAGGTTGGGACTTGGATCAGGATGTGGCTAACGGTGTGGCTGATGCCCTGGATTTAAGCGCTCAGCAGGTAAACGCTGCTAAGTCATATCTAAGGAGTTCCCTAGGAGGCCTGGAAAGATTGGGGGGGGGGTGTTTCTACGCTGAGCAAGATCTAACTACTAAGGAGAACTGGGAGCTGAAGGAGTGTTGAGGGGCTGCCTCAAGTTTGGTCTGGGTGGAACCAGAGAAGGTGGGTCGGAGTCCACGTAAGAAACTGGGCTGGCTTCAGAGGCCCTCAGCTGATCCTGTGACCTTGGGCATAGAGAGCTGCCCTGGGTAGAAGTCAGATCTGTCCAGAGTGGTGATTTCTGAGGATTCTGTGAATGTAAGCTGGGGGAGTTAGGCTAGCATTAGGTTACAGTTTCTGGCCTGGGTGTCAGTTTTTGAGTGAGTGGTGAGAGGATTGTGATCAGTATTAAGCAGTGATATGGAGGAACTGTGCCTCTCGGTAGGCACTAGACAGTGATGGGGTGGGGCTCCAGGGCACCGGAAATGACTCATGGGGAAGTCACAGGATCCAATTAAAATGGGAAGAAAGAAGTTACTATGGATGAAACCTTATGGTCCAGCTACGAGAGTGAGGAGAGGTCAGAGATACAGGAAATATCAGAGATTTTCTAGACTTTACCCCTAAGCACTCTTAGTCTTTTGAGCTTGGAAGAAGGCTCAGGGACAGGTGTATTGCCTTACCTAAGGGCAGGTGGCCACTCAGATCCTGATACTGCAAAACAGGGATTCAGATCCCTCTCTTGAGTCTAGGCTTTCCCCTACTCTTAAGAGACCCTAGACACCGTCTCTGTTAACAACAGTAAAGCAAGACCAAAACAGCTCCTGAAGCAGGCCTGGGTATAAGGTCAGTTTATAAGAGACTTTAAATCAAGAAAAGCCAAGATCTCATCCAGTCTCAGGATAGGGACCTGAGAAATCACTCAACTCTCTCAGGTCCCCCGTTGAACATCTCTTAAATGGAGATGGTATTAACTTATTAGGATGGGGAGAAATGGAATGCACTCAGAATAGAGCCTGTCACAGAGCACATGCAGCCATTCTTCGTGTCAAGTGTGCCTTACATCAAAGGAAGAACTCAGCCACACATACCAGGCCTCTGCATCCCAAGAAGGGCAGAAGAAGGAAATGTTTCTTGCATCATCTTTCCTGGCTTCTTCTGAGTAGCAGGACAGGGTAGAGGTGCTATGTATTAATATGAAGCAGCTGCATCAAGGTGATGAGGCTGTAGGCATGATACAGTTGTTAGTAGCTGGCTGGAGTTCGGGGCAGGGGGCGGGGGGCGGATAATCTTGGTTAAAGGTTAGGACCAGAACATTTATTAAAAACTTATGAAAACTGCCACTGTGGCTAAATTGAATCAGGTATAGTAAGGACCCTGAGGTGTTTTCTAAAAACATCTTTCAGTTGACAAACTATCAGGGTTGAGATCCAGTGTTGTCACCCTCCTGTTATCTAAAGTGACTTAGTTTGCCTCCTGTATGGACCTACCTTTAAGGATTTAGGGTCAAAACACACTTTACAGAGCATGGGCTCTTCTGTTTCTCTTCTGTAGTTGTCTGAGGCTTTACAAATTGAATGCAGCTATTTCTTAGGCCACAGGAGTACCCTAAAACGAGTGCACCAGCCACCTGGGAACCGATGGTGTTGAAGACCAGTGCTTTTCCCAGATAAATGAAATTAGAAGTCTTCCAGGTCCCCTGGCCTTGCCAGGCCTTTCACGGGTCTCTCTGCCCTTCACCCTCTCCTTCCCACCTGAGACAAGTTGCCAGCAATCAAGGCTGCAGGGGGACTTGAGCCATGTGCCTGGTTGTTCCATTTACCTAATGATTGGCAGAGATAAAAAATAACTCAGTGGCCATGTTTGGAGGATGCCAGGGAATCAACTGATTATCTTAAAAAGCATGGAGAAATGGACTAAGCATTTTTCCTTCCTTCCCACCTTTTACTATAGGCTTTCCCATAGGGCTAGTAAATAGTTAAAGGGGACATTTCCCTTATACCATGTTGCAGTAAGGAGCATACTTACCAAAATTTTCACTTATTTTTTTTGGCTGGGCGTGGTGGCACACGCCTTTAATCCCAGCAGTCGGGAGGCAGAGGCAGGCAGATCTCTGTGAGTTCAAGGCCAGCCTGGTCTACATAGTAAGTTCCAGGACAGGGAGACCCTGTCTCAAAAAGACCAAAAAAAAAAATTTTTTTTTTTTGAGACAGGACCTTAATTAGTAGCCAAGACTGATCTTATAGTCACTATGTAACCCAGACTGACCTCAAACTTGAGATCTTCCTGCCTCTGCATTCTGCATGCTGGATTACAGGTGTGAACTACCAGGTCTAGCTTTGTAGCTTTTTAAATAAAAAATAAAGGATCCTTAGTAGTGGTCATCATTGAAGACAACCAGCTTAATTAGTTACCTCATGGCAGAATGGCATGTCGTCTCCTAGGAAATATTCTTCTCAAAAATGTTGTTAAAGTATAATCTACCAATTTATAAGGAATACAAAAGAATATCTTTGTAAAATATCAGGGAGAGTCTAGAATGATCCATGTTTAATGGATTACAGTTGAAGATATTGGTATGAATTTTTGTTTAGCTTAATATAGACATAGATGTTTACACATGGAGATATTTTTAAATATGTACGTACACCAGGGATATTGCACATACATAATCCTTGCTCAGTAGTTGAGATGGCCTATAGGTTATAGCAAGATCATTTTGCCTACTTGATTTTGGTTTCCAGTGTTGTTTTCCAATTAAAACCAGCCAACAACCAAGCCCAAGACGCTTTAGAGAAATGACTGGTTCTAGCCCTCAGGTAGGAAATATGCATTATGAAATAAGGAGCTTGAAGCACCTTACTATGCATTAGAGGAGGAGGAGGAGGAGGAGGAGGAGGGGGAGGAGATCTTTCATAAATAAGAAAAACCTAGGACTGGGGGGTGTAGGTGGGTATCAAAGCACTTACACAGCATGTGAAATGTCCTGTATTCTGTCTCCCCTAGTGTAGCAAAAAAGGAGGAGACAAAGTTGGAGGAGGAGGAAGAGGAGGAAGAGGAGGAGGAGGAGGACGAGGAGGACAAGGAGGATGAGGAGGAGGAGGAGGAGGAGGAGGAGGAGGGGAAGGAGGAGGAGGAAGAAGAGGAAGAAGAAGAGGAAGAGGAGGAGGAAAAAGGTGGAGAGAAGGGGAGAGGAGAGGACCATATCGAGGGATGTTAAAGGGAAGACACAGGAACCTAAGGAAGAGCTCCCACTGACTAAAGCTGAAATGAGTAACAAAATTAAGCAGTGTTGGATTAAATTAAGTATCTAGTTCTACACTGATATAAGGTATTAAGAGATGACATTTAAATTAATGTGAGAGTACATAAAAACTTTCTGTACAGAAAAAACTGGAAATAATTGATGTAGCAACTTTGCCATCAAGGAGATGCAGTATAATTCTATTACCCTAGTATATGTATTGAACACTGACTTGCTTTCAAAGGAAACAGTATGGAATCAGGAAGGTGGCTAGTGATAACCTTGTGGGAGAACTTGAGACTCCTGTCTTCCAGTGCACCTTTGATGGGATATGTTGAAAATGATACTTTTATCTGTTATCTTCCTCCTAAGAAGATAATCCCAACCCGATCACCAAAAAAAATCACTGAACGAATCCCAGAGCAGGGACTCTACAACGAATTTGATGAGTGGGCCTCGAAGTTGTGGAGGTTATTCCCTTAGTCCATTAGGGCTGCTAGAACAAAATACCATAGATTGGATGGGGGAACAACCAAAATTTATTTCTTATAGTTCTCAAGGTTGAGAAGTTCGGGATCAGGGGCTTAGCAGATTTGTTGTCTGGTGAGGGCCCAGTTCCTGGTTCATTGAATACCTTCCTGTTGCTGAAACCTCACAGATCAGAAGAGGCAAGGCAACTCTCTGCTGTCTCTGTCTCTTATAAGGCCACTAATCCTATTCATGAAAGCCCTACTCTCATGATTTAGTCACTCCCAAAGGCCTCCCCCACCTCCATACCAACACATTGGGTTAGGATTTTAGCATGTGAATTAGGTGCAATACAGTTTAGAGCAGTCGTGAAGCAACTGAGAAACTTAATAAAAGAAGAGAAGGAAACATGGCAAGACCGAATGAAATGTGATATTCCAGACCAGAAAGAGGACCATAGGCGATGCCTAAGGAAATCAGAATAAAGCGAATTTTGATTGACAACGTAGGGCCTAGGCAATTAGGAAAGCGCACTTCTGGATGTGCCTGAGGTGTTTCCAGAGAGAATCAAGAGGGAAGACCTTCCCTGTCTGTGAGTAGCTCTGTCCCAAAAGCTGAGGGTCCAGGCGGAAGAAAAGGGAAAGCCCGCAAGCATAGATGTTTTCTTCCTCTCTCTGTGCTTTCTGGCTGTGGTGATGAGAGCTGCTCTGCTCTACTATGATGTATAAAACCTCTGAAACTTATTATCAAAATAAATCTTTCCTCCCACACTGTTAGTTCTGTCAGCTATTTTGTCACAACAATGAAAAGTCTAACAGAGAAAATTGGCACCAGGAATGGAGTTGTTGCTATAATTATGTAACTGTGTGGCTCAGATGTCCTTGGAACTGTTTTGTGGGAGGAATTTGGAAGACTTTGGAAGTTTGGGCTTGAGAAGCTCTAGAGTGCTGTCTAAGCAGAGCTTAATGGGAAGTTCCTGTGGGAGCTTATGCTGATGGAGATGTGGACAGAAAAGATTGTGCTCACAAGGTTTCAGATAGTATCAGTGAC